AGGGCCGGGACATGAACGTCTGTCTTTGGGACCTGAGAGAAGGTCGCAGTGAAGCCGTGGACACCCTGAGGACGGGCAGCGTCGGGTTCTGTCAGTGTTCCCTCCTGGAGCTGGGTCTGGACAAACACCTGCTGGCCTTCGCTGGAGAACAGATGGAGGAGGTGAGGAGTAACATAGGGGTTTGACCACCAGGGGGCCCTGGACTAGAACCGGTTTCTGGGTCCATCCCATCCATCCATTTTTCGTCTGCTTATCCATTACCGGGTCGCAATCACACTGCACCGTACCAACCCCCCCCCAAACCTTCCTGCAGGTGGTGATTCCACTGGAAGGTACCAACTGTCCTAACCGGGATTCGATCTTGCCCAGGAGGTGAACCCTGGGGTTCCACACCAGGGTTCCACACCAGTGACCAAAGCGCCACGGTCTCTGGGTACTTAGTGTTTACTGATGTCTTTTACCTTATAGTAGGTCATTGGTTCGAATTCCCTTCAGTCTTTACCCTGAAACTCTAAACTAAAAAACTACAACCGTTGACAGGCAGTGTTGGCCTGGTGGTTAATGAAGCAGACTTCTGCCTGGAAGGTTAGGGTTCGAATCCCCACACACTGTCTTTCACTGGTCTTGTAAGAACTCTCAGTTAATTTGTAGGCTAACTGGACTTTCCTGGTTCCTAGAAGACCTTCCTTGACCACTCTTGGATGAGAGGGTGAAAGGTCTTCTAGGGAACCGACTAGTCCAATTGCTCTGCTACTTGGCTACCAGGGATGAAATGACCTCGATGATCGAGAACCTTCACAGACGTGAACATGGGAAAGATTTCCGTTTGAACCTCATGGTTTTTTTGTGGGAGTCTGTGTGATCGTTTCCCCTGGTGTACACAGTGCCAACCTGCACGGACCTGACCAGACTTGCCGCCGCTGCCAGGAACCCGTTCATCTGTGACTACGCTCTCATACATTTGTGGCTTTTTGATGTTTGTTTTCTTTTTTTGTTTTTGTTTCTGTTCAAACCTCAGTTCCCATGAAAACACGATGGTGAGCTCTTCATCAGAATCGTGGACTCTGTGATTCCCACCGATTGTTCTTGTGTGTCCTCAACACTTCGGGAATGACAACTTTCCACGGTAGCTCCAGGAAATTCAAGAAAATTAGATTTTTTTTCGTCGTGGGTCTGTAGCCGTGAGTCTCGCTACGCAGGCGATGGCACACGATTCCCACGAGTACACAGCGATTTGAACGGACCGATGACATCACGGCTATGTCATCGCCCACCTGTCCGTCCTGAGACGATGGCGGGGGCGGGGGTGGACAACGTGGGGAGGATGGATGGGAAGAGGTCAGAGGATGAGTCAGCCATCTTTTATTGCCTCGATTCATGTTACTGTCTGAAAGGGACGCGCCAGTCACCTGATCCAGGCCCAACGTGCCTCCGCTGTCCACAGTCCAGCGGGCCAGGCATCAGGGCGCCGGTGACTCCCAGCACCTCAATAATGCCATTGTCCTGGCCGACACACAAACACACACACACATATAAAAGCCAGACCAAAACAGACCAAATCTGTCGTTTGGTCTCCCCACCCCGGGGCCCGGGACACATGTCTGTCATGCGTCTTCAAACCCAACACCCAGATAATTAAATTCCCTCCAGAAACAACAACAACACACACACACAAACACACACAAACTTGCCACAGAAATACTGAGTATAATCAGTATTTAGACGCAGTGTTGTTGCAACACGGAGTCGAGACAACGGGCAACAGTTTGGTGTCTTTCAGGTGGTTCCACTGTTTACCGACGGCAGACTCCTGGCACAGCGCGCACCTTAATTAATTGTGTGGGTGTTTTATTTATGGGCCAGTGCAATACCACACAGGAACACCGATCACCTGAGGCACTAAAGCGTCCTTAAAGGCCCTCTTTGTCAGCGTTGCGTGGATAAACACGGGGGTCGGGGTGAGTGTGGGGGGCGCCCCCCCCTTCTCCCTCACAGCGCCCTCTAATGAGGATGAATATGCAGATCTGTAACACAGAGGAAGTAGAAGGAACCAGTAATGTGGTACACACACGTACACATGGAGGGCCTTCATTAGCCCGTGTATTTTGTCAGAATCAGTGCCAGTGTGTACAGGAAAACAGCGGTCACGTCCCCGGGTCAGACTGGGGGGAGGATTTATTATAGACACTGCACTAATACACCGTCAGGCTCTTGGGGGGGCCTGATGGAGGCGCAGTCATCTGCACTGGTCCCGGAGTTTCACAACTGCAGGCCAAACTCTGACCTGAAGACTGGGTACATTTGTACATAAGAGTATACAGTACTATGCAGAAGTCATACTTCAACCCCCCCACCCCGACC